AAGATGGCCGCCACGTGCGGACGTCGACCCCCATTGGCCAGCAGCGCGGACGAGATATCTATGTTCATCAGTGCAGGCTGGCTGGGATTTGACGTAGGAAACATTTGCAATCAAATGTAAGTTCCGCTGGTTTGCTGCATTTTCATCACTCCGACTGAAAATCACAATTTAGGAAAAAGAAAAAAAAAAATACTTCACGAATCCCTAAATGTACCGTCCTCTTTGAAATATTTTTAACCTGTGCCGCAGAGCTGTCACGTGCGGTGACAGAGCCACATAGCTGTCACGTGTGACGTGCGGTTTCACTGTGTTGTCATATATTAAATTCACCTTTTTGGGGGTTTTTTCAGGTTATGTCACTTAAGATCTGTGTGGAATTGGTCTGTTAGACTAGAAGGTCTATCTAGTCACTAGATAGACAATGCACACTCAGTTTTGTTCCAATTTAAGCCTTTTAATGATTTGTTCATGTAGGCTCCCCCTTTGCAGCTCTTCTGATCTCTAACAGCCAAGCATTGTGAATATTTAGCATCAAAAATCTGTTGTCATAAATAAAACAAATTGAGTGTGTTTTTTGGACAGATACATGCCAAGTGGTTCGCTGAAGTGGACACACAAAATTATTATATATTTTTTTTAGATAATCAGTTTGGTAGTCTGCCTAAATCAACATTAAGACAACAGAGTGGTCAGAAGCATTACTGACATTGTTTAAGGTTCTTTTACTGAATATTAAATCAGAAACATCAGTTTTATAAAATGTTGAAGGCTTAAATATTATTGAAGCTGCTCTGTAACACAGATAAACATTACAATGGTGAGCCACTGATAATTAAAGTAATAAAAATTTCGACAAAAAATTGCCAAATTAACTAGGATAGTTTGTGTCACTCTCTCATTATGGGTTTTTACTGTAATTCAATTTTTTTACTGTCAGAGACTTCATGCCATTAACTCATTTAACCATAAAACTCCTGCTCAGACTATCTCTTTTTCTGCTGTCTTGTAACCAGTGGGGATTTCTTATTGAGTACCAGGGAAATGCCTGGGTAGATTTTCAGTCATGTGGGTCATGGCAGCCACAAACTGGCTTAAATTGGAAGTCAGCTAGCCGTGCAATTCAAGCCCAATTTGTGGAATACTAGGAAGGCTAAACCTCCCCTGTAAATTTAGTTAAATTATTGGTGAAATATGCATACATGTTGTCATTGACCTCATTCATTTTGCGCTAAAATGTGCCTGTTTTCATAAGCAAGTTGCGCATTAATCTGCTGTTTATTCCATTTTCTTATTCAATCTCCCTTTCTCTCTGGAGCAGCAAGACGCTGCATGTCAGTCTCTATGAGAAATCCATGTTGAGGTTTGAGCCTCCTTCTATTGAGGTAAGCAGCAGGACAGTAGAACCCTGATTGGTTAACACACCAAAATACGTCACTTCCAGTAAAGCTAAACCTCTTAGAAGCTGAATCCCAAACTGCCCCCTAAGCACTAACCCTTAACTATCAAGTGTCACTACCAATTAAGTCTGACTCGCAGCTGTGGAAGGCGCCTTGATTGAAGGTGGAGAGGTACAGTATAAATGAGAATGGGACGGCTTCTTCCCTCCAATGGAAAAAGAACACAGTTGTTGCTATGGCAACACAGTGACGCCCCATTTGTGCCTGTAGCTCTGTGGTGCAGGTTAACATTACATTAAACATTTGCCCCTTTCTTAAAACAATTGTATACGGTAAGAGGAACTTCCTTTTTTGAATAAATTACATTTTTTTCATTGACTAACTTGTGATTTTCAATCAGCATGATGAGGATGCAGACACCAGAATTTAAATTTGGCTGAACA